TTAAGTAAAAATAAGTCGACGTGTACATGGTTTAGTGATATTTTAATTAAATGATAGTTATTTTGTGAATTTTATGTTTGTAGGAATTTGGTATACGTTTTAGTTGAAGTAAACGTGCATGGAAATAATTTAAATATTTGACACTAAGTATTTGTAATGCTTGCGGTATGAATCGTTGGTGACGTTTATAATATATAATAGATGATTTAGAGGTAAAGTTTTGGATATTTTATTATTTTATATGTGGAAATGTTCATATTTGGAAAGGGTATATACTTTTCGCGATCAGGTAATTTCAATATGTTCTTTTTACCGGGTTTAAAGATTCAGAAAATTGTCATGTATTTTCGTGAAATTTTTCTAATTTATTAGAAAAAAGCAGTGTACATGGATATAGTGAAGAGTGTGCGCAATGCCATTTTGTGTAATTCTGGGATTTTTTTAAGTAAAAATAAGTCGACGTGTACATGGTTTATGTGTATGTGTTATTTGAAAAACGCGTAAGGAGTATGGTATTGTGCACTTTTCCCAATTTTGCAGTGAATATTTGTCATGATTAAGCAGTTTTGTTAGATAAAATTTCTAGCATAAGTGTAATTCGGCTAGTAGATTGTTGGAAAAAGTGTTCAGTAGATAAAAAGAAAAGAAACATGTCTTTACTTCGTGAAGACAAAATGGCGGCGGGAAAAAAAAATAGAGGGTTGCTGTAGGAGAGTTGGTCGCCAAATTTTCGCCAGAAAATCGCTAAGTTACCATAATCTAAAGATCAACCGAAATGTTTAATAAAGTAAACAAACAAATATTAAGCTTTTTTTTTGTAAATTTTGATACTCTTTAGATCATAATTGTTCTTTATTTCATAAATTATGGTTTCATATTTTTAGCTTTAGAATTTCTGCATACCATCTTACCAGATTTAAACTGATAATCTATAATCCGGAATCGCCGAAGTCCCGACGAGTCCGGATTAACGACTTTTGACTGTATGTCTGTTTATAGAATTAAAGAGAAAGTATTATCACATAAAACGAAGCAGCTTAAACAACTTACATTGAAAGAAGTGTTTAATAAAGTAAGCAAATAAATATTAAGCTTTTTTTTTATTTGTAAATTTTGATACCCTTTAGATTGTAATTGTTCTTTATTTCATAAATTACGGTTTCATATTTTTAATTTTATAATTTCTTCATGCCATCTTACCAGATTTAAAGTGATGGTCTATAATCTGGAAAAATCGATAATCCGGAATCGGCAAAGTCCCGATGTGTCTGGATTAACGACTTTTGACTGTACAATATATTTATATTTTTAGTGTTAAATATCACTTATTTTAATTAAATTTTTTTGTGATTGAAATTATCATATCTTCAGTCACATATTTAAAAATGGTTTTATTTCTACGTAAAGTGTACATTGTATCCATTTTTATGTAGTGCATACTTTCCGAAATTGTATATTAGGCATAGCGGGAGAAGATGCCCTGCCCTTTAAGCACAGTCTATGTGTAACAGCTCCTGTCATGTGGGAGCGCTGTCTTCCGCGGGCTGCCGTCCGGAACGTGTTAAACAGCCTTTATTAGAAAATATGTATATTTACCTATTTTAGTCTCTATTTTCATAAAGATGGCATTTATAATATTAATGAAAACAAGAAAGCAAAATATCTTAAATTATAAGCTGTTATATAACAAGTGACAAAAAATCTCATGATCAAGATTTGTTTATAAAAACAGTTGAAACTTGGAATAAAACAAAAAAGAACACATATGAAAATGACAGCATTGTTTGGCTGAAGGACTGTAAGCATGGCTGCTCGAAGAATGGTTATGTATATGGTTGTCAGAGTTTGGCACATGAAAATTTGGTGACTTCTACTAAGGTGGTTACATTAATACAGAAGTATCCAAAATTTCATTAAATTGAATAATAAATATAATTTTACAATTTATTTAATTAAATATTAAAATAAATACAAATTTGCATTGAATTCCTTCTGTTCGTATATATTAAATAACTTAACATTATGTAGTTATTGAAGGAATTATCATTTACAGTAGTCAATTTCTTTTTCATGCGTGTTTATGACATTTGGCAATAAATCTCACTTTTTTATTTAATCGAATTGCTCCAAGATTGTTTACTGTCACCAGGGTCGCTACAAAAGATGAGTACTGCTTTGTGTGTAGACATTTTTAAAATCTGAAGATTGTGTGCATAGCAAATTAATAAAACTTTCTTTAGTAATGTGACCAAATTCGATGGTCATACGTTGTACCAACAAGATATTGCATTTTGTCTTTCGTGTCATGTAGTGGAGCATTAACACGAGGGCTTTGCAGGACAAAAGTGTCAGAAGCCCAACTTCATTACTTGGCAACCATGCATTGGTACATCATAAAATCTTGTATAAGGATTTTATGTAAATAATCTAAACATTGGAGCTTTAGGCTCCAATGGTTAGAATATTTACATTGGAGCTTTAACCTTTGCCATTGGAGCTTTAGGCTCCGATGACACCTGCCATAAAAACAGATCAAATACAGAAGCAAACACAAATTGAAATTCAGATATTAATTTATTTCACCGAGTTAGCTGCACATTCAAACATGCACAAATTTGCCTTCCTTAGTTGGCTGTGGCCTAAGCCCTGTTTTGCAGGTGTGAACAGAGCTAAATAAATTTTGTTATTAAGGCTATGACAATAATGAAGACTAGACCATCATATAAATGTTCTTTAATGTCTACTTCGAAGTTGCAGGCATGAAAATGCACTTTGTGCCTTCTTCAGGCTGCAGTGGCTACTTCTTTTACATTCAAAATGTAGTAATGTAGAATAATGCGAGATAACATTTTATCAGGTGTTCTAAAAATTCCCTGTGAATGTATGCATGTAATTTTCATAAAGTAGCTGATCTATTAATACACTACCCAACATTGAAAATGCAACACCAAGAAGGAATGGCCAGAAAGTGATGAAATTTGGCAAATACAGAGAGAGAGAGCAACAAACAATAAGTGATCTTTATTTCGAAATGATATGTGTAATACAGAGCAAAAACAGCATCAGTTCAGTAGGTTGTAGGACCACCTTTGGAGGGCAATACATGAAGCAATTTGTCTAGGTACAGAGTCATTGAGACTGGATGGTGTCCCTGAGCAATGGCTCTCCATTCCCTGTCAACCATTCGCCCTAGTTCATCTTCTAAACACGGCAGTGGCAGGGTCTGCAAATGGTGTCCAATCACATCCCAGATCTGTTAGGTGAGAGATCAGGAGAGAACAGTGGCCAGGGAATCATCTGTACAACTAGCAGAGCATATTGGCTGATCGAGCAATGTATGGCTGGGCATTATCCTGCTGATAAAGGATTATTGGGCACTCCCTGAATGCTCTCCCTGTTGCACAGTGGGGCATTCCATAATTGCTGCCTGATGGGACCTGCCTCCACATCGACAACACACTTGTGTGCGCCGACTGTCATTGGAGAAACAGAAGCATGACTAATCTGTGAATACGACCGTGTGCCATTCCATTGTCCAAATCGCTCGAGCCCGGCACCATTGCAGACTTTGGGGTTTATGATGTGGGATCAATATCAATCTTCTTAATGGCATGAGTGCATGCTACTAGCTACTAATTGACGGCATTAGGTTGTGGTCAATATGGGAACATCCAGGGTGTCTTGATCATGCTGCAGAATGGAGGTAGAAGTGGCTTGCGGATGCACCACCACTTGTCTGTCAGCAGATTGTTGATTTGTACGTGCTGACATCTTTCAACTGCACTGCACCCCTTGAACTTGCCACATTTCCTTGTTTCAACCATCATTGCCATAGCTGGTGCACTGTGGATCTGTTCAGATGTGTGTCAGCTGAGATTTGCTGTATGGACCAACCTGCTCTTCTCAGTTCGATCACCATGCCCCTCGTAAAATGGTCTGGCATTCTGTGCTGTTACACGCATCCTCTGAAACAAGAAAAAATTCTCTACGATGATTTCCATAGCAGAAATAATGGCATTAAATTTGAAAATTCTGCAGGTTCCTTCCCTTATATTTTCTTTAAGATGCGCTGGAGAGTTGCGCATTTCACATCATTCTCATGACTCGGTGACATACATGTACTCTGAAATTTGCATAATTTTCAGGCCGTTATTTCTGCTATGGAAATCATTGTAGAAAATCTGTTTTTGTTTCAGACGTTTGTTGTTTGTTCTTGGTGTTGTATTTTCAATGTTGGGTAGTGTATCTTGATGGGAATGAGTAGGATATTTAAACAATGAAAAATTAATTTTTGTATGAATTTTGTAAGTAGTAAGATGATTTAATAAGTGGTAGCTTTTCTGTTAATTATTATATGTTTGTATTGGTTTCTAGAAATTTTTATGTAATAAATGGCAGATTTTTTTTTATAAACCAGTGAGTTTAATAAGCAGTGGGTATCACATATACATTTGAAAGTATTATTTATCTTATAGAAATAAATGCGTCTTGCATGTGCATTTAATGTATAGGATAAATACTGCTTATGAACATATTTAAGTACATCTTGCTATGTGCCTGAACTTTTGAAGCCATAAATTTTTAAGGATAAGGGTTCAGGTGTAAACTGTAGGGTCAAATTTTGAAGTTTAAGAAAATTTTCTCAAAGGTAAAGGTATTTTGAAAACTTTCAGGTATTGAAAGCAAGGCTTACTTTGGTTAAATATATCTATTATATTCAGTAACAGTGATGAATGTTTTATATAGTCCATTAAGAGTAAAACATATCTTATGCAAAATAATTTTATTTTAAAGCATATACATATATTCATAATTCTCATATAAACATCATTAATGTTGCCATATTATGCAAATACTAATGCAAGTAAAGTAATATTTTTATTTATAAAATGTATATTAAATAAAACTAATTTGATATTTTTATAATTATATAGGATTGAATGAGGATTTAAAAAATGTATGATTAAATAAAACTAATTGATATTTTTATAATTATATAGGATTGAATGAGGATTTAAGAAATATTGGAGTGGAAAAAATCTGCATTAATAGTTCATTTATTGAATTGGAAAGTGCCTGTAAATACCTATGGCAGATTCTGAAGATTGCCAGCTTTCTGATTTGCAAAGTGAATTCAAAAAGCTAAGAGTTGATTTAAATAGGTAAGAAGACTGTGAATATAGTATCTTTTAAAGAAATGCGGATCATTTTGCTATTTAAAATTTGAAACTGCATCAAAAGAGAGTATTCTCGAAGTGGCAGCTTGAAATTAATTAAATTTAAAAGGTTCAATTGACACTGTATTCTGATTTTGTTATATCTGTTTCTTATATCTAAGTATGAATAAAAAATCTGAATCATTCTTTTTTTTTTTTTAATATTTTTAATTTCTTAATTTTTCAATTTATGTTGCAATTTTACATTTTGAGTAAAATATGATTTTAAAACTGTGTATATTTTATATTATAAATGAAAAACAATGTAAATTATGAGTGATTTTGCATGTTTCTGTAAGTACAAAAACCATTTCAATAACCTTACCACTTTATTGTGTTTTTATAAATATTCCATTTTTTCATTAAAATCAAAGCAAAATGGATTTATATTTCATTTTGTATATAATTTGATAGCTATTATATTTTTCTTAACAAAATGTTTTATATTTTTAAATGTGTGCTCTGTAATTATTAAAAAAAAGAAAGTTTTTGGGGAAAACGAGTATAGAAATAGTGAACTAAAAGTAAAAGAAAATTAGACAATTTTTAATTTCACTATTTATTCAAAAATATTTTTTCATAACAATAAATACAAATAATTGTGATAAGTCTAATATTTCTTAACAGTATGGTATTGTTCAAAGCATTTTCCTGTGAAGTGGGACACAGCAGAATTTACAGATAAAGTTTTATTCTGTATTTTTTTGGCTGAGTACACACGGCATTTTCTGTATGGATTTCTTTTCCTCCCAGTACCAACAATTTTCTTGGCATATGCATGCATAGTCTGCCAGGGAAATTAGTGTTTTGGTAGTCTTTGCAAATCAGATGTAGATGGCTGTGTTTCTTCAGTTCTGGTTTCATCAGTAACCCAATACAGTGCAATATTATGCAAAAGTTTTTTGTATATATATATATATACAGTCAAAAGTCGTTAATTCGGACACCCATAATCCAACATGATCTATAATCCGGACCTCAAAGCTTTAAACTTTCTGCGCATGCGTCGCGTTGACGCATGTGCATAAGGCCTTTACGGCTGAGAATATGCTTGTGCGCATGCGCAAAATACGTTTACGAGTGCGCGTTTAATGTATAACGGACAGTAAAAGCTAAGCTAAGCTAAAATTATTTAATTATCTATTTCAGTTAATGTTGCAGATTGCGTTTTTCCTTAATCTCCGAATTGGATTGCGTTTTTCCTTAATCTCCGAATTGGATCCGGCTTATTATTTTTTGCAGACTGTTAGAGCAATTTTATAAAAGTAAGCTTGAACTTTCGATTATGTCAAATAGAATTTTTGATATATATTTATTAATATGTAAATGATCTACAAAGCGAAAGTATGTTTCGAAGTTCATTAAACAAAAAGTGGAATTGCTACAAAAAATGGATAAAGGCATATCCTTTGTTTATCTAAACTTTAACGTTTGTTTATCTAAACTTTGTTTATCTTTAACGCCGCGGCGCCCCACAATGAATTGGAAGTTGATCTGTCAGCACTACCCTTATCTTCAGGGCAGATGTTTTTATTTTATTTCGCTTATAATTCCTTACTAAATGTAGTATTTCATCTCGATGTACCCCCATCTTTGATATGATTTAAATCAAATTTCTCGTCATTATAATTCGCTTCCGATAGCGAAGAAAGTAACAGAGGTTATTGAAAATGAAAAAATTTCAGTTGACAAATTAGTCGGTGTTCTCGACACAGCAATTATAGGACTTGAACAGCGGAACTTTGTAACTGAACAAGAAATTATGTCTGTTTAAAGAATTAAAGAGAATGTATTATCACATAAAAACGAAGCAACTTAAACAACTTACATTGAAAGAAATGTTTAATAAAGTAAACAAATAAATATTAAGCTTTTTTTTGTAAATTTTGATACCCTTTAGATCATATTCTTTATTTCATAAATTACGGTTTCATATTTTTAATTTTATAATTTCTGCATGCCATCTTACCAGATTTAAACTGATGATCTATAATCCGGAAAAATCGATAATCCAGAATCGCCGAAGTCCCGACGAGTCCGGATTAACGACTTTTGACTGTATATTGTTGTTCAGTTTTACAAAATACTACTTTCTGAAACTAAGTAATTCTAAATCAACTAATTTAATAAACTAACTAGAAAGAAACGGTACAAACACCTTGCATTTTTACATTGTATACTTATATGTTATATCTGTTGTCCAGTCGTAAGTCTTCTAAATATGTACTTTTACATGACCCGTGCTCTAGTCCCAGGCTGGGAAAAACTTAAAAGTTCGTTTCTCACATATAATTTGTTAATAACAGTTAATGTGCAGTTCATGATATGTTAAGTACCTTCCAGTGGAGTTTTTGATTTATAAAATGATCAAAAACATTTTGACATTAAAGTCAAAATGTACGTAGGTCATTCAGAAAGTTTGTTCTACTGCGTAAACATGTTCTGTCTAAGCCTATTTGGATGACACTGTGTGGCAATACTTCAGATATGTACCTTTATCGCGTGACGTAGCGGCTTCCCTGAGACAAGTTTAGTTTTTCTGATAATCAGTCACAAACATTTCTCGACAGCTGCAAATAGCGTCCAAATTGGAAATGCGTGCAGTGATTCGATTTTCGTGGGCAACTGCACTGAAATTTATGGGCAGTTGCATAAAGTGTATGGTGAAAATGCAATGTCACGTCAAGTTGTCGCAAAATGGTGCAACATGTTTGAGAATGGATGTACAGATATTGACGACGCTGAGCGCGAAAGAAGACCATAGACTGCAACGAATTAGAAAATCGCTGCCGCGTGAATGAATGCATTCTTGCAAACAGACGCATAACGATAGATGAAATCTCAAATGAACTGGATATTTCTCATGAAAGTGTGCATAAAATTATTGCCGATCACTTTAAATTTCGTAAAGTTTTTGCTCGGTGGGGGCCACGTCTATTGATGCAAGAACATAAAGAAAAGCGTTTTAAAAGTGCATTTGCATTTTTGCAACATTACCAAACGGAAGGAAATGATTTTTCGGACATAATTGTGACTGGAGATGAAACTTAGATTCACCACTTCTCACCTGAAACGAAATACAGCTCGCCTGAGTGGAAACATTGCAGTTCTCTGACACGAACAAAGTGTCGAACTGTTCCATCTATAGGAAAGGTGATGATGACGCTCTTTTTCGACAGAGAAGGCATTGTGCATACCAGAGTTCATGCCGCAGGGTGTCACAATTAATGCATCATCTTATTGTGAAACACTAAAACGATTGCAACAATCACTTAAATATTGACGCCCAGGTAAACTGTTGAACGGCATTGTGCTCCTTCCTGCATGACAGTGCAAGACCGCATGCAGCAAAACTAACGTTTGACCTTCTGAAAAAGTTTAGGTGGGAAGTGTGGAATCATCCTCCTTATAGTCCAGACCTTTCACCTCCTGACTTCCATGTGTTTGGTCCCATGAAACAAGAACATTCAAAGCGACGATACCATTCGGATGCCGAAGTGAAAGCTGCAGCCTAACAATGGTTACCGGACACTGGACAGGATTTCTTTGCAGAAGGCATCGAAAAACTTTTACCACGCCTCGATATATGCTTAAATAGCAGAGGTAATTGCATTAAAAAGTAGATTTTGAATGGAACTTTAAGATATTAATAAAGTTATTGTAAAATTTTGCTCCCATTTTGTTTTCTTAGGCAGTTCAACTAACTTTTTGATTGACCCTCATAATACATTTGGGGAATATGAAAAAAAAATTTTAATTATTTAAAAAAAATTCGTACATTAAAAAGATTTTAGATGTGTTAAAAATTTTTAATTTACAATGGCAGGATCTTTCATAAATCCGCACAGTTTGCTATTAATTTTTCCTACATTTCTTTAACCAACAGATTTTAGCCTTATTATTTTAAACTGCTGTCTTTTTCTGCATAATATGTACCAATACTTTGTACTATTTATTAAATTTCTATCTCGAATTCTTCATTGTGCTGAATGTTTAGATATTGCTTGTCAAGAGATCAGAACTGTAAGAAATCACTAGAAAGCCTTCCAGATTTGGTTAGCTAGTTTGTGCTATGTGGTATATATCATATGAAAATTTGGCCTTGTCATGGAGAAGGATGATATTCACAAATTTTACACTGGAAATTTTTCGAAACTACATTACTTCTTTTATTGCATAAAATTAAGTAAAAAGGTGTGCTTTAAAAAAAGGAGAAATTATGTATTTCTGTGGTGCTATGTGCATTGCATGTTTTATTTGCAATAAGGGTTCAGTTCCAAAAGAATACAATTTAGATCCCTATTGCAAAATAAAATCCTAAAGCGAGATTTGAAATTTTGCAAAGCAAATTCAAAAGGAAAGTTATAGTTTCTAAAATCTGGCCTCCAACAGCATTTTTTAAAAAATACGTTTGTTTACTTTTCAAACTGTTGCCACCAAATATTATCATCATATATAACATTTAAAGAATATAAATAATGAAGAATCTGCATGAATGCTTCTCTCACATTGTGAAAAATCAACGGTACCTAGAACCATCAAATTTTAAATAACTAGTCTTCCAACTGAACATGGGCACTTGGAAGACCGAATTTTGAATTTAAAATTTGTTTTATTTTCTATTAAAAATTTTGTAAAATTTAAAATGAATTTTTATTAACAAACTCTGTGATTTCAAAGCGAGTGGAAGTACTGTACAGGAAAAAATCTTTTTATCTCTAGCTCACAAGACTGCGTATCGGAAATTTTTAACGATATACTTTTTTATATATTTTGTGATATTGCTGTTGAATTGAATTCTATGTGTTTTAATTGCAAAGAACATGATATTTAATCAGTAAATGTAATGCACAAATATTATCGCCCTGTACAAATATTATTGGAAGAATTTAAATAATGAAGAATCTGCATAAATAAGTGTATGTATGTTTCTCGCATTGTGATAAAACAACGGTACCTAGAGTTATTTTGTAACACTTTAATGAATTTTTGATTAACAAACTCAAGGATTTCAAAGAGAGCAATGGCAATGTTGTACAGAAAAAACAATTTTTATCTCCAACGCATGAGACTATGTATCAGAAATTCTAAAGATGTGCTCAATTAAAAATTATTTTAGATATTGCTCTTGAACTGAATTTTATGGTTTAAGTGCGAAGAACATGATATTTAATAAATAAAGGTAACACACAAGATGTTAAAAAAGCGCCTTTGAACGTAATTTAAAATCTGAAACCTTTCCAATTTTCTTTTAATTATTTATTTTTGTTAAATTTTTTCTTGTATTTAAATTTTCTTTTCCTTTTTGCAGTTTGTGTCGTAATCATGAAAAGCATACGAACAAATGCTGTTGGCGCACTCATTTGGGAACAAATAAAGACAGAGATGTAAGTCTTAACCTCTTAAGTGGTGCAAAATTAGAACATTGTAAGTGCCGTGGAAACAACAGCTGCATGCGAATGCTTGCTCGAAAGAAAAGAAAGAAGTATCCAACTAAACATAATTTTACAGAGAAAGCATCTGGTTCAGAGCCTAATTGCTTTCAATCGGGATTGCATGGAATTGTTCAAGTCGTTAAACATTCTGTGCAGTCTCAGCAATGCTCAAGTACAGCTTTATTAGATCATAGATTAGCCATAAGTGTTCAATATGTTGATGAACATGCTTCTCAGCAAGACAATACTGATGATATTACTGTGGATGAACTGGCAGGCTACTTTGAAAACTTAGTGTATATACCAAAAAAAATGTCTCATATGGCTGAAATGATGTATACATGATTTCTGTGTCTGTAAATGTTTTTTAAAACAAAGTGTACTTGCATGAAAATAGTTTTTTCAACTAGAATGTTCCTTCTAATCCTTAAGTGAATTGACTTAAAATATTTCTATGCTGGATGTTGATATAACTGTTTAATAAAAATTTCATATTATTTAAATGATGCTTTTATCTGTGTTTTTACTATGCAGGAAACATAATGTATTACCGATTAGATAGAAACATCAGCTTCATAAACTGTTATTATTCTTTCAGCTGATTTATTGATCTGGCTGACAATTTGTGATTTTAGAAATTGTACGTTAGGTACATTTTATGAAATATTTACCGCTAGTGTTTTCACTTTTGTTAAAATATCAAATCAAGGTGGTTTCAAATAAAAATTGCTTAATGCATAATTTTCTGTTAGTTTGATTAATATGTAATAAGTCTGTGAGGTTTTTGTATGTTGTTCATCAAAATTAAATCACAAAGCATATAAATAATCATTATTATTGATATAAAGTTGCAGAATCTTATGGATATGTTTAATTGTATTAAAATTTGTTGGTAGAGGAAGTGAGTACCCATGGAATGATTGAAGTCAGGGAAGACCAGTTGGAAAACGGTAACATTAAACTCATAATTTACTGCATGGAGTCTTCAAACAGGAAACCTACCTGGACACTTCAGTCTGTAGTCCTACGACAAAACAGTAAACTCTCTAGGACTCGCTGCATATTCAGATGGGTGTCTTGCACCGGAAACTTGAATTGGATGATTGAAAGGTAATCTGATGGTAATTGATACTTCCAAGATTCCAGATGACCGGTACAGAACTACACAGCATTCCAATTGGAGATCTCTTTGGAATAATGAAGACTGCTTAGAGTTCACAATGCTAGGGCTGATGTGTAAAAGTAGTGCTGATTTGCAATACCTGTGCTGGTCAGAAAAGACACAGCGCTGAGTGAAGCTGTAATGCTACAGTGTAGAAGCACCTTTTAAATACTTTGCCTTCAGTATCCTGGAACCTTTGCCACAAACTCGTGGATGGCAACAAACAAATCTGCATTGTCATTGATTACTTCACAAAATGGCCTGAAGTATATCTTATTCTTGATCAAGAGGCTTTCACGGCAGGAGAGGTAATGATAAACGCTGGGTAGTGCCTCTTCAATTACATTCCGATCAAAGAAGGAATTTAATATCAACTGGAATTTAAGAACTCCGTAAGCTAATTTGTATAAATAAAACTCGAATGACACCTGTGGAAATTTTGATTAATTGATAGATGGCGCTAGCGTTGCGTGTTAACGAGACTCGACGTGCCTTCTGAATTTCCATAGACTCTCCACCGGCAGTTCGATAGATGGATGTCTGATGCTTCGTACACTATTTGATTAGGAACACTTCGGTTCCTATTTAAAAGATTTTGATTTTCGATTATGAAAGCATATAGATTTGTTTGTCAACTGAACCACTATGTTTTGATCAATGATCTGTAAATATTGTACATATTAAAAGTTACATTTTAAAGTGATTGTTGTGTCTATTTGCAACAAATGAATGCCGCTTTTGTAAAAAAATTGGACATATCGAAAAGGCGTGTTATTTGTCTAGGAAAAACCGACAGGTTAAACAAAAGAAAGTTGAGGCAAATAATGCTTATGATTCGAAAAATGAGGATCCCCATCTATGGATTTAGCCTCCAGAACGCACATGTTAAAAGAGAGGAAGATCCGAAAAGACCGCCAATAATGGCTTCAAGTTAAAATTGAAAACAAAACCAGTTAGCATGGAATTTAATACTGGGGGAACAGTTTCGGTAATGTCTATAAATAAATTTAGAAAAATTTCCAATAAAAAGATTCACCTACAAATTTAGTTTTTAAAACTTACAGAGGTGATAAGTTGGTACCTTTAGGATATGTTCCTGTTAAAGTTGAATACCAAGGTCAAAAATTAGTTTTAAATTTATACATTGTGAAGGAAAATTTGGACACAATCTTCGGCCGAGAATGGCTGTGTAAAATCATATCTCGATTGGAATGCCATCAAAACATTGAAAACTTCTAGTGAATTGAATTTAAAAAAAATTACTTGAGGAGTATAAGGAAATTTTTGATGGTAAATTAGGTGAAATTAACAATCACGAAGTAAAACTAAATTTGAAACCTAATACTCAACCAATATTTTGTAGGTCACGACCGGTACCTTTTGCATTAAAAAATAGAGTTGAATCAGAAATTGATCGGCTTGAGAGAAAGAAGGTATCATTGAGAGGGTTGAGGACTTCAGAATGGGCAACACCAGTTGTGCCAATTGTTAAATCTGATGGTTCCATTAGGCTTTGTGCTGATTATTCTGTGACTCTAAATAATAATTTGGAAGTGACACAGCATCTATTACCAAAACTCGAAGAAATATTTTCATGCCTTATTGGAGGTAAAAATTTCTCGAAACTTGATTTCAGTCATGCTTATCTACAAATGAAGGTGCATCCGGAGAGCCAACGATTATTAACAATAAACATGCATAAGGGGTTGTATATTTGTAAACGCTTAATGTATGGATTAAAGGCTGCCCCAGCTATTTGGCAGTGCTATGTTGAGGGATTATTTCAGGGGATTGAAGGAATTAAAATTTTTATGGATGATGCTCGAGTGACAGGACCGGATGATCAGTCTCATTTAAAAGCATTGGAAAGATTTTTCAAAAAATGCGAGGAGCACGGCCTAAAATTAAACTTAAAGTAATTTTTTTCAAAATGAGATTAAATTTTTAGGGCATAAAATTGATGCCGCTGGTTTGCATAAAACGGATGAAAAGATTTCGGCAATTGCTAATGCCCCTACGCCGAAAGGCGTCCAAGACATCAAAAGCTTTTTGGGATTAGTGAATTTTTATGCCAAATTTTGCCCTAATCTTTGGCAACTTTGGCACATCCTTAAATAATTTAACAAAAAGATGTTAAATGGAGTTGGTCAAAAAACTGCCAAATCGCTTTTGAAAAAATAAAAAAGGAAATTTGTTCAGACAGAGTTTTAATGCATTATGATCCCACATTACCATTAATGCTAGCTACTGATGCATCTCTGGTAGGTCTTGGCGCAGTCTCTCGCATGTTTCGTCTGACGGAACAGAAAGGCCTATAGCATTCACATCGAGGACATTGACTAACACAGAGCAGAAATATGCCCAAATCGATAAAGAAGCACTGTCAATTGTCTGGGCTGTCAAAAAGTTTTATCTATATCTAAAGGGTAGACGCTTTTCTCTGGTAACAGATCATAAACCTTTAGTGGCTATTATCAAATCGAAAAGAGGACTTCCTATCTTTACAGCCACCCGACTCTTATATTATGCACTGATATTGCAAGCATATCAGTTTGATATTGTGTATCGAAATACCAAGGAACACGGTAATGCTGACTGCCTGTCTCGCCTGCCTCTTAAGTCCGAAGATTTAAGCGTTAATGGATGATGTTGAAATATTCCAACTCTCCCAAATTGAAACTCTTCCTGGTAACAGCTAGGGAGATAGCTCAGGAAACGCGAGCTGATGAAGAATTAAATAGTCTTTATATGAAATTAAAATCTGGAGAAAGTTTGGAAGGTAGGGAAGCAGAGTACACCTTACAAGATGACTGTATAATGAGTGGTCAGAGGGTAGTTGTTCCGAAAAACTCCGAGTTAAAATTCTCGAAGAGTTACACCAAGGATATTTAGGAATCTTTAAAATGAAGGCAATCGCCAGATCCTACGTCTTTTGGAAGGGAATTAATCATGATATTGAAGACGTTTCTAGGAACTGTGTAGATTGTATTAAGTTCAAATCAGACCCAGTAAGGGCAAGGGTCCATCACTGGGAATATCCAAGTGCGCCTTGGGAACGCATTCACATAGATTTTGCAAGGCCCTATTTTTGAACGAATGTTCTTGATTATCGTTGACGCACATTCTAAATGGCTAGAAAGTGTATACCTTAAAGTCAAGCAAATTCCTTTCAGACAATTGAATGTTTGCAAGATACGGACTGCCTTTAGTAGTAGTGAGTGACAATGGTCCTCAGTTCACATCGGGGGAATTTGAAACTTTTATAAGGAATAATGGAATTAAACACAAAATGTGTGCTTCCATTTAAACCGGCAAGTAACGGGCAAGCAGAGCGGTACGTTTACACCGTTAACAAGCATTACGTGCAATGCAAGGTTATCCAGGAAATATTAAGCAAAAACTTGCCATATTCCTCATGAATTATAGAAAGGCACCGAACATGACAACCTTGTTAAGTCCAGCAATGTTATTCTTAAAAAGAGAAATTAGAACTTAACTCGATTGATTTTTATTTTTACTCGAATTCATTTGTTCCAAATCTTAAACGAAGAGTGGAAGAACGCATCCGAAGGAATACTTATGATTTCAAAGACAGAAATTTTGAGATCGGAGAAAAGGAAGTTGCCATTCGGGATTATAGATTCGGCAAATTCCTCGATGAGAAAATTGGCAGAGTGACAAATAAGGATGGAGCGCTGCATTATAACATTGACGTTCAAGGAACTTTACTGCGCCGGCACGTCGATCAGATCAGATCGGTAGGGAGTGAGGTTCCGTCTGCACCGGTAATCTATGAACCTCGTATGGCTGCTACTTCAGATGGAAACGTGAAGCCACAGGCTCCGGACAAGGACATTGAACAAAGAAGTGAAGCTGTGCAAACTTCAGCCGGACTTGAAACATCGTCAGTTTCCAAGGAAAACTGATCCAGCATTCCAGTGAATCCTGATAAAGAGATGCAGCAACCCCAGCCTGACTTAGACGATCTTCGCACATCCGCAAAGCTCCTCAGAGATTAAACCTCTAAATAAGTGGGGGGGTGTAGCATCTGATTTCGAGAGTATCAGTGCTCTTATACCCGAGAACCTCTGTGAACGAGTGTAGAGTAGAATGTAATGTAACTGCGTAAATAGCGTATCGCTGCTGTCTTATGAGTTAGTTAGAAATAAATGTTTGTGCCGTGAACTAGTCTGTTTTGGTTGCGTCATGCATTTCATTGAACCCACACCGCTAGACACAATAGTGATTGATGTCGATTTATAGATCTTAGAATACTTTGAAACAACACCTTTACATCCATAGTCAGATGGCATGGTAGAGAGATTTAATTAAACCATCCTT